TATATATATATATGCTAAACATTATCATAAAAGGCAAGCACTTTAATAGCAGCTATACCACACATAACCAGGAAAAACAAGAAAGAAGTTGCAGTAATCCTGCACAGGGGTACAGAGGGATATCCTTAAAATGGAGGCAATAAAACAGCAGTTCAGACAAGTAACAAAACAAGTATTATTCTGGCTTCAAACTGTGCCCTTTGTGTGTCTGTCCAAGACTGCCTGAGCCAACCACAGCAATTTCTTTACACTGGGGATTTATTGGTCTGCAACAGGAATTGCAATAGTACAGTAAAGAAAAATACTTTGCACAGCAGATTTTGTCGACAAATGTGTCTAAAATGTTATAGCCACTGAAAGGCACTGAATGCATACAACTCTATTAATTTCAAGTATGACTCAAAACTAGCAATATGTGCTCCTTGTTCATCAATCCTTATTGCCTACAACTAAGATAAGATGACATTTATCCCACACAACATGCACAACTCTTTTATATAGATGTTTGGGGGGGGGGGTGTGTGATAACCATAGGCTCTATTAGGAATACATAGTAGGTCAGGGTGAGGCCATACCCGGCACATATAAAAAGATGAACCATTGTTTATATTGCCAGGAGACTGAAAGCTTTTAGGTTGGTCATAAAATCAACTACCCACATCCAGTAATGAAAGGAGTTGCCTTACAAGGAAATGGGTAGAAGAAATGCTCTGATGATCAGCAGTTAACAACAAAAAAGAGTTTGTGTGTAATGTAAACTGCTGATGTAAAAGTGCTAAGCCTTCTGCATTACATCTTTTTCTGTACAGGCAGAGGCAAGCATATACCTGCCAATACTATAAATGACATTAAGATTAAGTGAAGTATTAACTAAAATACTAGTATTATACAGAAAACACTGCAACTGTGCTAAAGGTAACCAGTAAATTACATTTTTATCAAATCCAAAGTGGACAGATTTAGCAGCATTTTTACAGTGCTTCTTGGCAGCTTTTTTTTTTCACCTGCTTATAGAATATGCAACATCCTTCTTTGTGGACTACAAAAGGCAGGGAACCACTGAGGTGCTGGCCTCGAATTAAAGGAGAACTATGGGGTTCTATCTTTTTTTATGAATGCATTCCTTAGTCTAAATAAGTAAATAATGTAATTTACTTTAATTAGCCAAAATGCACAGTAAGGCTGTAAAACCTTATTTTAGGTGGTGGGCAGGGCTAAGCGCCGCAATGAGAAGACATCCTGACGTATCTGACGGGATCCACCCCACTGATGACTGACAGAGTCTTGAGAGCTGCTGCGCGTCCACGAATATATGGACATGCGCAGCAGCTCTCTCCTTACCTGCACGTCCCCGTGTGCCAGCTCCTTCCCCCCTCTCTCTCTCTCTCCCTGCCGACACTGACATACCAAA